CAAACTTATAAAATAAAATGTAGTGATTATGCTTTGCATTAAGGTAACTTGAAAGTTTCTACTGAGTTTCTGTATTTTAACATGATGCTGAAATTCCTTATGCAACTCTTGAGGACTATGCATTTGAATGATTGAATATTTAGCTGAACACCTTAATCTAAGTGTGAATGTGGAAAATGTTTAGAAAATGAACATGAAAAATGTAAATAAATTCTCACTTGAAAATAATCAAGGTAGAAAAGATTAATCTTTTTACTGAGAAATTTTGTTTTATTTAGAGAACTCTTGTATAAAGTGAAATTATAATTTTTTATTTGGTTGTAAATGATGATACTAAATACTGAAGTCCGTAAATCCAAGGATTCAGAGGAAAACTGAAGTGTTTAATGCTCTAAATTATGGCATTAAACTTTCAGAAGAATCTGCGCTTTAAACCTTCTGCACAAAATCCTCTCCACAGCTCATTATTATTTTGTTTTTCATTCTTATCCTATTTTCCTTCTTATTAAATTATCATGCAGTAAAATTGACTTCTTTTCTGTGCAGTTGTGTATGTGTTATATAATAACACATATGGAGTTATTTAACCACCACCTCAATCAGAATTCAGAAAAATTCTATCACCTGAAAAACTTCCCTGTGTGACTCCTTGATAAACACACACTCTTCCACCAGTAATACCCGACAATCACTAATCTGCATTCTTATTTTCCAGATATTAAAAATAAATTGCTTATAAAATTTCTGTTAAAAATCTGGAAAGGGAGGGAATAGGTTGGCAACCTTAATCTTTTTTTTTTTTTTTTTTTAGACAGAGTTTCACTCTTGTTACCCAGGCTGGAGTGCAATCGCCGCGATCTCGGCTCACCGCAACCTCCAACTCCTGGGTTCAGGCAATTCTCCTGCCTCAGCCTCCTGAGTAGCTGGGATTACAGGCACGCGCCACCATGCCCAGCTAATTTTTTGTATTTTTAGTAGAGACGGGGTTTCACCATGTTGACCAAGATGGTCTCGATCGCTTGACCTTGTGATCCACCAGCCTCGGCCTCCCAAAGTTCTGGGATTACAGGCTTGAGCCACCACGCCCGGCGGCGACCTTAATCTTAACAAACGTTAGGTCACCTTTTCAGTCCTACCAGATTTTCTTAGCTGGCTATCTTCATCTGAATCACGGTACGCAGAAAATGATTTCAGTGACTCTTTTCTAATGTCTCGCAAGGATACCCCAAAACTAGTAATACTGCTGTAGATGTGTAGAAGAGAGGTTAATCCGCTACATACAGTGGATGTTTTAGGGTGTCAGAACTTATTTATCTTGCAGAACAAGTTGGAAGTCTACTAGACTAGTTAATAAACAGGAACGTAACCTAATATACAGGTAAAGATTTATATACAAGGAGATCCTGCCAAGAAGTAAGAAGTAGGAAGAACCCACTTGTCGAATGAAATTAAGAAAATGATGTGTGTAGATGATAAGATACTTTGTATTCATTAAAATAGTTAAAGTGTTAAAAAATCTTTTAGATAAGAATGTGCTTATTATAGACTGTCAAGTAAAGGGTATGCAGTGTAAGAGGGCAAAAAAAGAGGCATTGCTGTGCAGGTAAAAATGCATGGCCACTGGTATAATCTTTTCATGGAGTACTTGTAAATGAGCATTACTTTTTTGTCCTTTTATCTACAGATATTATATAATAAATCATAATTAAATAAAATGTAGATTTTTAATATCATAAGGTAAAGAAAAGTAACAACCTGACAGTTTTTGAGTACCATGGGTATGACGGTCTAATATGTTCAGTTGTCTAGACTTCAATCCGCACTGTTCAATCAAATACTAGGCAAGCTAGGTGTTGCTACAAAAATATTTTACAGATCTGATTAAAGTCCATAATTCATTCACTCTAAATAAGGGAGGATTTCCTTAATCTTCGTGAGTTAGATTCAATCAGTTGAAAGGTCTTAAGAGCAGAGCTGAGGCTTCCTTCCTTTGGAAGAAGAAATTCTGCCTGTGGACTGCAGCCCCAACTCATGCCCAACAGTTCCAGCCATCTTTCCCAGCAACCTGCCATGGAGATTTCAGACCTGCTTAGCTAGCTCCAAAATCATGTAAGCCAATTCCTTGCAATAAAATACTTCAGATATATCTCTGACTGCTTCTGATTTCTGATTGAATCCAAGCAGAAAAAATGGGCCAAGAAGCATGCCAAGCCTATGCTTTGAAATCACTCAGATGTTACATAATATTCTCCTCTGCTGTGTTTTGCATTCCTTCAGAAACTGATTCTGAGACAAGTGGCTTCTTTAGAAAGGGATCCCGGGATTTCCAGGTAGGAGGGTGAGGAAGGAAGACAAGGAAAGAAAAGCAGCAAATAAATGATGTGCTCTCAAGCAAATTATTGCTGCGTATAACAAGAGAACGGTGTTGGAGAACTCTGGGACACAATGTAAATTGCTTCAGAGGAATTTCAAAGAAGAACGGTGAGAGTGAACGGATGCTTATCAACCAACTCTCCAGTCATCTTGGGTCAGGGGCTTCCAGACGCTCTAACATCTGCTACACTCAGGACTTTCTCTGTCCTTGATCTCAGAACCCCTTCCCCAGGAAAAAGATCCAGAAAGGAGTTGCAATGATAATTTGTCTAAGTTGTTATTAGAGGTGAAATCTGAAGTCAGTTGGAGTGGTGATGCATTAATGGCAGCTGCTGCATTTTCCTTATTTTTATAAATGAGAAAACGGAGAATAGGCAGTTAATTTACCCAAAATCAAACAGCTAATAAGACTAAGACTAATTTGTCTCCAAAACCCTCTTAAATTTTTTTCTATCTGGCTGGGCGTGGTGGCTCACTCCTGTATTCCCAGCATTCTGGAAGGCCAAGACAGGCAGATCACAAGGTCAGGAGTCTAAGACCAGCCTGGCCAACATAGTGAAACCCTGTCTCTACTAAAAATACAAAAAAGTTAGCCGGCTGTGGTGGCAGGCAACTGGAATCTCAGCTACATGCGGGGCTGAGGCAAGAGAAGTGCTTGAACCCTGGAGGTGGAGGTTGCAGTGAGCCGAGATCTCACTTCAGCTTTTGCAACACTCTATGGAACATATGACTAATAATAACCCAATTAAAAAAACAATTGGTGCAGACATTAACACTCATGCCCACAGAGAATCCTACTGACTGGTATCACTCACTTTCTTTGGTCACACTAATGTTTAGGAGTGTCAGCAAAACTCATTTATCCACATTGAATTAACTCAAATTCTTGTTTGCAAGATTCCAGATTATTTCATTTCTTCGTAGTAAACACTTCAGGGCGTGCCTTGAGCATATCAGCACAGGTGGGGGAAGTCTGCAGTTGGGAGCATGGGTGTCTCGATGATGGTTGCACATATTTTATATCTCCTTCTGTCTTTCCCCTTATCAGGAAGTTTGTTTTGCTATTATGTTCTCTTAACACTGAGCCCATATGCATAATTCCAATAATGTCTGAAGCAAATCTTTCATTATTCATGAGACATCTGCAGCACCTTTCTGAATGCTATGCAAGACACTGTACAGAAGACAAACGCTGAGGAGAAAGTTAAGTACTTTGCCACTTTTATTAGAGGAGTGTTATTATTTCAATTGTATAGGAGAGGAAACGAAGGATCTGAGAGACCGACTATAATGATGAGGAACATGCCTAGTTGGGATTCAAAATCATGACGTTTATCTTTATAGCAAATGTTCTTTTTATCATGCCATAAATAGCGTCTGTGCAAAAAGGACCGGATGACAGATTACCAACTAAATTATATAAGAGGTACAAAATGTTGGGAGAAGTGCCAGGAGGCTGAATTTGGTTATTGCCAAAAGAATAATTCAGGCAAAATGTGTCAAGAATTTTCTCTTAGAGAGTCTCAGGAACATCTATGCAGAGAAGGTGGACGTGATGAGGATGCACAGAGGAAGGGGAGTGAGTGAGACATGCACGTACTGAGTGGGAATGCACCTGCCTGCTGAAAGAGCAGCGCTGAAGATTTTTATTGGTTCTGGGTGTTGAATGTGTGCATGGCCTTTCTGAATTACAGAGGTGTAATTCTACCACGTCCCAGCCCAAATGATGGCTCTTCTCTGAAGCCTTCACTGGCCCCCTAACAGAGTCGGTCTTGTTTCGTCAATGCTCCCAGAATGTTGTCCCATGCGTTGCTGTGTAGTAAATAGTCTGGCCTGAGGGTCCTGAATCTGAGATATATTTCTTGAGCTAAAATCCAGGATCTACCTCTTCCTAGCTGTGACCTTCACATTTGGCTAATAAATTCATGCTTTGTTTTTCTCATATGAAAAGTGGATAATAAGAGTACGTGCTTCATAACGATGTTGAGAAGTTAGTATATTTATGGCACTTAGACCCATGCTTGGCATGACTTTCTAGACTCGTGGATTCCAATGGGGATAATTTTGCCCCCTGCCAGAAGACATTTGACAATGTCTGGAGATAGGTTGTTTGTCACGACTGGAAAAGTAGGTTGTTATTAGCACCTAGTGGGTAGAGGTCAGAGATGCTATTAAGCATGCTGTAATACACAGGACAGCCTCCTCCCCATGTCTCGAACAAAGAGTCATTTGGTCTGAACTATTTATAGTGTTGATTCTGAGAGGTTCTATTTAGAGTGTTGACTTTCTGTGGATCACATGTATGTTGAATATACACACACACACGTATATATTCTATACACATACATGATATATAGTTGTATATGTTACTTATAACTACATATTACTTATATATTTTTAAAATAATACATACATATTATTTTATATATACACTTAATATTTTATATATACAAATATTTACTTATGTATTTATATAACATATATTATACATTAATATATACATATATATTTATATATTTTATATATGATATATACTTCATATATTATGCATATACACATATATAATATAGTATGTCTGTATTCACAAAATACTATTAATAGGACTTATAATATTTGTTGAATGAATTTTCAGAGCTTAACTGTCACTGACCAGAGTAGTTGATTAAAGCAACAAGTCAAAATTGAAATAACAATTAAGCCTTTAATCACTTACACAAGGGTCTAAATTAGAGGAAGTGCCGGCTGTACCTAATCCACTCCCCACCATGAAACAGTGCATGAGTGGAGGGTCAGGTGATTAACAGAGGCCTGGGAGTTATGTCCCCGTTGAGATAACCCTTAACAGAGCCTCCTACACTTTCATGAATGAGAGGGGAAAGTGGGAAAGGGCCTTGAAAGGAAAGACTGAGTGCTGGGTTTAAGTTGGGGAAAATATTTTTCATATCTTCCCCTCAGTCTTTAGTAAGGAGGCCTTCGCAGAAGTGCTTGAAGCAGACCTTGGCACCAATGCCTCAGATAAAGACAAGGCTGGATGACGGTGCTCTGGTAAGAAATGCAAATATGAGAAGAGCAGGATCAGCCAAAGCCCTCACTAAGAGAAGCCTGGATCCCCGACTGCAACTCACTACAGAGACTGTGATGCCCTGGCTGAGATCACATCTGGTGTGAACAGGTAGCTTTCCTCTCTAATGCCTGTCAGATTGAGCCTTTATAATTTACACAGGTTTTTGGCCAGAAGCTAGACTCTTCATTAATGAATTAATTAATGAATCCAAACATATATCTTAAAGGAAAATAAACCTAACCAAAGTGTACACAAACAAGCCTCTGTGTGAAATAATTTTCCATGTAGCCAACACAGGTGGTAATGACCAGTACATGTTTGGGTAGTTATTTTAACTATGAGGAGGCTAAAGCAGCCACTCTACATTTCTATCAGTAAATCTTCCAACTAAATGCATTTTTATTTTCTTGCTTGACCTAAGATAGCATGGGAGGCCATTTGAAGTTGATTCTAGCAACCAGGCCACACACACCCAGTTTCAGGGAACAGAGTTTAAATGTTTATTATCACACTCAGACCCAGTGGAAAAGCTGTTTCCAAGTGAAAACAAAAATACAATAAACCTACTGAAATCTGTAACTTCTACATCCTTTTACATAAGACAGCCAAGAGTAAAGCTTTGGAGTGGATCTTTAGACATAGGCTGGCTGGTATGACTAATAATGCTGAGTTTGACATTCATAAGCTGTATGACTTTAAAAATTACTTGACTTCTCTGTGTATAATGTTTTACATCTGTAAAATGAAAATAATAATAGCCATAATATTGTTTGTGAGGTTTGAGTGTGTCAATCTTTATGAAGCTCATAGGATGACAACTCATGTATAAGTGTTGGCTGTTCCAAGATTGCTGCAGAATCAAGGACAGCTTCTTGTGGGAAGTCTCCATTCTTCTGAGACCTGAAAGTAAGAGAGTTAGCTTGGCACACGCGAGAGTGATGCGTATGTCAGGTAAGGAGAGTGCAGCACGTGCAGAGATCTTGGGGTGAGAAAACATAACAGATGGTGGAATTAGGGTTCAAGGACACAGAGAAGGAAGCAGGCCAAGAAGTGAGAAGGCAATGAGTCTCACATCAGGGGAGGCACTAGAATTGTATCCCAGGCCAGGCACAGTGGCTAACGCTTATAATTCCAGCACCTTGGGAGGCTGAGGTGGGTGGATTATGAGGTCAGGAGTTTGAGAACAGCCTGACCAACATGATAAAACTCCGTCTTTGACAAAAATAGAAAAATTAGCTCGGCATGGTGAGTGCACTTGTAATCCCAGCACCTCAGGAGTCTAGGGCAGGAGAGTCTCTTGAATCCGGGAGATGGAGGTTGCAGTGCACCAAGATCACGCCACCACTGCACTCTAGCCTGCTCAACAGAGAGAGATTCCATCTCAAAAAAAGAAAAAGGAATATATCTCAAATATGCATATTGGAACTGAAGGGTTGCAATGGGGGATTAAGAGGGTCAAAATTTTCCTGACCTTTTCTCACCTGCTGCTGATGTTCTTGGATCTCCGACTCTGTATCCTTTCATGCACGTTGACATAAGCTGTGGTTCCTCTGCTCTTGTTGCCAGCTTCTCTCCACTGACTAGACTGAAATGTGCACTTCTGGTCACTTCTGCCAGCAGCTACAGAAATGTGACTTTCCTGTGCTGTCTTTAGGCTGCTATCATGGGACCAGAACCTGTGGCTTTGGGGCAGGGAAAGATTAAGATTCTCTGACTTAATCTGCACTAAAAACATAATGGCTATTCTCTTCTTATGTGCAACTCGAACTAAAATTTTATTATTTTAGATTTCTGAAGTTGAAACAGTTTTTTAAACTAAATTTCCTAGCTGTGTAATTCTAAAGAAAGTTTATTGACCTTGAATTTATCTCTTGTCTCATGACTATTTTGCTTGTACTTTAAGCACGTTTTGTATTATATCAAAAGAAAAAATCCAGCCAGACTTCAGAGATTTTTCTAATTCCTCCAGAGGGTAACTGGACAGCTTAAGTTTGAACAAAGTAGCTTGTTGGTTGCACCTAGAAGAATCAGTGGCAGAACAGTAGGCAGAGAATGAAACATAGTAAAGTATGAAATGACAGATTGGATAAAGAATGTCACCCAGTGCCACCTCACTATATACATAGCTGGTGGCCTTCACACCAGATACCCTGATTTCCTGGGTGTTGCTGTAGTTTGCCTTATCAACAACCAGTCCTTTCACAGCACATAGTGTCCCATCTCCCATCACATTGCTTCAGCAAGTCTCTGTTCTCTGCTGATAAAGATTTCCTCTATCCTCATCATTTCAGCATTCAAACATGCTTCTATTTATTTCATTTTTAAAACAGAGAAAAAAAAATCCTCCTGACTGCATTCTCCCAAAGAGGTGCCACCACTCTTCCCTTTGCAGCAAAAGCTTTGGCTACATCTCCTGACTCCTCCTGAAGCCCTCAGCTCTCAGTCTGATTCAATCATCAGTTCTCAATGTGCATCTCCTTTGCTGCACAGCAATGTCTGACACCATCAATCCCTCTTCTTCCTTGAAATCCTGTCCTCACCTGGCTTCCAGCACGGCCCTCTCCTCACCTGGCTTCCAGCACGGTCCTCTCCTGGTTTCACTTCTACCTCCAGTGCCTGCCATTCGGTTCTTTCATGATGTACTTTCCTGATGTCTCCTTCCAGCCAGCAAGGCCTCAGGGACCTAGGCTGCTACTTTATTCTTTTCTTTCCATCCTCACTTCTTTGTGTTGCTGTCAGTCTAATGGCTTCATTTTTTTCCCTATATTTTTTATTGTCTATATTTAAAGTGGACAACATACTGTTTTGATATGTATATATACAAAATATACATGTAATATACATGATATACATATATATATATGATTACTGAAGTCCATCAAATTAACATATCCATCACTGCACATACTTTCTTTTATGTGCATATGGTAAGAATATCTAAAATCCACTCTCCTAGCAAATTTCCAATAAACAATGCAATATTATTAACTACCATCCTCATGCTGTACATTAGATCTCTAGATTATTCATCCTACATTACTGCAACTTTGTATCTTTTGATATACATCTCCCCATCCCCACACTCCCTGACCCTGATAATCACCATTCTACTTTCTTTCTATGTGTTTAAATTTTCTTTAGGCTCCTCATAAATGAAATCATGTAGCATTTTTCTTTCTGTGTCTTATTTCTTTCACTTACCATAATGTCCTCCAAGTTTGTCTATATTTTTGCAAATGGCAGAATCTCCTTTTGTAATGCTGAATTACATTCCTCTACGTGTGTATATGTACATGTGTGCACACGCATGCCAAAATTTATTTATCTATCCATCTGCCAATGGACTCTAGATTGCTTCCATATTTCACATTTATAAAGAATGCTGCAATGAAGACAGGAGCACAGATATCTCTACAAGGTGCTGATTTCATTTCTTTTGGGGATATATGAAGAAGGGAGATATTCTGGGCCCTACTATAGTGCTATTATTTTTTGTCTTTAAAAGACATCTAGATGCTTTTGACTATGACATATTTAAGCCCAGCCCAGAATTGTAGACTTGTATATCCAACTGTCTACCTGAAATGCATTCATGGGTTTTTAATTGTCTATTTTAACTTAGCATTTTCATCCAAGATCCTTGACTTACCCTCCAGTCTTCCTCATTTCAGTCCCACATTTCTGGTGTTCATGTCAAGAATCTTGGAATCATTCCGATTTATTCTCTCACATCCCACATTCAAACCTTCAGAATTCAGGTCCTCTTAGTTCTCCGGTCAAAACGTATATCCAGAATCTCATCTTCCCCTCCTCTGATGATCTGTTTATTCTGAGCCAACATTTCCATTTCCTCTTCTCTACACTTCTACATTTGCCTCCTAACTGGTCTTCCTGATTGTTTTCTTGCCCCCATACATACTGCTCCAACACTGCACTGCCAGGGTGAGTCTTTTAAAAAACTACATGACTTGCTGCTTAAAACCTTCCATTATCTTCTCATCTAACACAGCATAAAAGCCAAAGCCCTTATAATGTTTAAGATTCTCTGTGAAACTACTTTTCATTACCTTTCTATCTTAACTTTCTACTATTTTCTCACTAACTCTGTTCCATCCTCACTGGCCTTGATATTCCTCAAAGGAATCAGATAGGGTTCTCTCACAGGGCTTTTGCTTTAGATCTTCCCATTCTAGAATTACACCTGCCTCAGCTGTCCTCATGGCCACATTCTGCCTCCTCTCCACATCTTTGCTCAATGACCCACCTGATCCTCCTATTGAAGACTGCATTAAAACTCTGTGATGCCAACCAACTCCTTCTGCCTTCAAGACTCCTGTGGTTGGCTGAAAAAATAGGTCCTCTGGGTGATACAATTGTTCAGGAGCTCACAGAAAGTGACTTATTACACAATTATCCTGTAAGAAAGCGTTTATAGTCTTCAAACTCACTTCGGGCAGTAGTATAACAAATTCCATAGCATTTAGCTCATACAAAATTAATGTAATGATTGGGGAGCACTTTGTGCCTTTGAAGAACTGTCTGAATGCCTCCTAATAATGATGTTTGGATCAGAGTATTCTCTTAAGAGCATTTGTACTTCTCTACTGGCTCTCTTCTATACCTTTTACTTTTGTTGAAAAAAATAATAATAATAACTACCCTCCAAGAAGAGGATGCAGCCTCCGGTTGACCTACCAGACGGATTGCTTTTAGGAAGTGGGTGGTAGCTGCCCTATAGTAAGGGATGCATGCCTCTGTTTCACATCTTTTCTACCAGAATCTATCCTGGTAAAGTTTTTGACAAATCTGGACAACAAAGCTGCATCTAAGTGACACATTAAATGTAAGACCATGCAAACTTATTGTCTATATTCCTTTTACTCTTCTTATGTATAAACCAAATTCGATGTCATTTGAGATTTCACAGCTAAGATATGCTATGCATGCCTCTGTGGTGTGTAAATGTGTACATTGAATATCGTTTCAAAGAATTATCATACTTCTATTCATATGGAGACATCAGCTTTGGGAACTAGAGGGGCCTTTTGAAGACTTTCGTTCAACCCCCTTATCACAAAAATGAGAAAATTGGAAGCCCAAAGCAGTTACATGCCGAGCCTAAGGTCATGTTATGAGTTAATGGCAGCATTGATGAATAAATCATCAACACTTGAAAACCTTCTAAAGTCTCTTCTCATGACGTCTTTTGAAAAATGTCTGGCAGCTGATCAATATGATGGTTTATTTGAAACAATGACACTATTAACATGTTATGTGGATGGCAGAAACTGGCTTGTGTTTGGATGTGCCAAGTTGATGTAGAAGTGAGTATAGACTTCCGTGCTCGGTAACCGTGAATGATTGGCATTCTCTTAGCTGGGCACTTGCTGCTGTGGTTTACTATGGTTCTTTCCAACTCTCTCATTATAAAAAGTGAACTGTTGTTCTGAGATTGCATATTTGCATACGTTGGCTCTGTGGGATCTTGTTCCTGATTAAAGGGCCCATTGCTGCCAATTCTCAGGGAAGGCGGCTGCTGCTGACGGCTTGATAATCATTTTTTATGCATCAAGGAAGGCACAAGAAGCTTCAAACCATAATCATTTCTATAAACATAGACAAGCCATAAATTGTGACTGATACAAATTAAACTATGTTCCTCAGTAATTATATTTTAGAGATTGTGTACCACATACCCAAATATAATTTTAAACTTAGAATACTATAATTGCATGTTTAGTGCCTAGCACTCTTTGTATTCTTTATATATTTTGCTTTGCTTGAGTTATTCCAAGGAAATTGATTTTCTGGACACATGATGTTCAGGTTCATTAGACCATTGGCATGACTCTCACTACATTACTATTATTCTCATCATGTCAATCATGTCTTTCTGGAGGCGGGCCCAGAAGCCATTGTGATAAGGAGTAACTAAGTTCTCCCAAATGTGTCTGCAATCTGTTCCCTCCTCTCCATCATCACTGTCACTACTATTAAGGCCTTGGGTATCTTTTCTCTGGCCAGTTGTCACTGTCTCCAATTGGTGTCATCCCCTATAGCTACCCTCTATAGAAGATGTATGATAAACTCTATTGACCATGACATTGGTAACAAAATTACTTTGCATCATAGCTCTACACACACACACACACACACACACACACACACACACCACTGAAAGAACAGTTTTACAAGGCAGCCCTAGTGTCTAGTCTCACCTCCCTTAAAAACTGTGAGAGTTGTCCTGGAAGTTGGTAAAGTAGCAGAAACTTAATTCTAGGAGGCCTATGTCAGATCATGTGACAGTACTGAAGGCTGTATTTGTCAAAATCAGACCCCTAGACCAGGATTTGTGTTCCAGTAATTCATTTGGAAAGTGGTTCTTGGAAACAAAAGTGAGAAAATGGAAAAAGTCAGAGAAGGGATGCAAGAAAGCAACATAAATCAGGTCACTGCCCTGGACAGATGGGGCACATCTTGCTGACAGCACTCTGAGGACCTGGAACCAGGCACTTGGATTTCAGGAGACAGGCACACAGCCACTGACTCTGACTTGGTTCCACTGGTTAAGGATTTCCCTAGGCATATTGCTTCCTTCTCTCTCCCCTACTTTTTAGTTGCTTCCTGTGTGCTTTAGACCACTTTAGACTGTGTGCTTTCCTACTTTGTAGTTCCTTCCTGTGTGCTTTAGTTGCTTCCTGTGTGCAACCTTGGTTCCAGAAGAAGTCCCTGGGCAAGGAACAATGGAGATATAGGTCCTTGAGGTAGGAAGCTGTACCCATGAAGAAACCTTATCCGGTAGCTTCAGGTGAGCTCAGGTGAGCTGCAGGATGTGGGGCAGGATATCATCAGCATATTCTACCCCAGAAACAACAGGACCTGCCTTTCATCACTGCATAATAATCACTACATCCTTGTCATCATCGCAGCCTTTGTTGAAAAACAGAACACAGTTCTTTCTCTATGCCTGATCCCCATCCTCTCAATGTAGCTCTTGCTTATTCAGCCTCTTCTGCTAAATAGGCAGTGAGATGAAGACCATTTTGGACTTAGCACATAGGCTGGCTTGAGCATCACTGCTCTGCAGCCTCATCTCTACACACTCTGCTCTCCCCTCCCCTCTCCTTTCGCAGCAACTTGACCATTCTCTCTGCACTGCATGCTGTAGCCATGTTGAGGTGGCTTTATTTTATTGCTAAGTACACCATCGTCTCTATTCCCTGGTTTATGAGCATGCTTCTCCCTCAGCCTGAGATGTTCTCCCCTTCTCCTCTTTCTCTGTGAATTTTTACTAATCATTTGGGTTTTAGCTCAGATAACATTTCCTTTGACAACCTTCGCTGGCTGCTCAGGTAGAAATTAGGCTCCTTTCTTGTGCTTTATTGTAACTTCATGATTTCTAGCATTATCTTCCTTTATGTTGTTCTCTACTGCGCTCTGTTTGAATTGTTCACGTACTTGTTTTTCTTCCCCCAAATATATCATGCTTACATTATGAAGACAGTGGCCTTGTCTTATTTACCATGGTTGCTTCAGCATCTAGGGCAGTTTCCGTCCTGTATAAGCTCAGCAAACATTTATTGAATGAATCAATGAACCTCTAACTGCTATTTCTACGCTTAGCTACATGCACAGTATTTATTTAAGGAGCACATACGGGAACCCTAAAGAAGCCACAAACTGGGTTTTAGTTGGAGGCCAGTCGTGTGAACACCTATGAGGAGACCAGAGGCACAGGGTTGTGACATGTTCTGTGTGTATGTTTTAGATGGGTGAAGATGTCTGCTCCTGGAAATAATGACAGGTTAGTTTTCCTAGATAGGCTGGAAACAAATTTTAGAAATCCTTGAATACTGGGCAAAGCCTTTGGACAGTGTTCTGTAGATGAGGATGAGTCATCAGGTAAAAAGGCTTCTTCAGGACATGGTCCGAGCTTCTTAGCAGACTGTCATGGGTCCTCTATTAACTGGCACCCACTTTCCTCTCCCGCTTCCCTTTCTTCTACTGTTCCTGCAGCCCCCTCATCATCAAAACCTCTTTCCTGCTTGCTAACACTGAGATGTGCACACACCCACAGGCTTTGGGAAGGAGTCTGTGACCCAAATGAGGTGGCTTGAGCTGCTATCCTGCTCTTGTTTTCCACTCCTTGGTATAGATTGTCTCTTCAGCTAAGAGGACTCTTACTTTCCCACTCTTCATCCCTTGCCCTCTGGTATCTCTCTGAGAACAATCGCTCCTGCAGGATTCAGGGCTTGGTTATCCTTCATCAGACCCCCCTGTACCCCTAACATTGCAGTGCAATTGCCTTCTCAGGACACATATCACACTGAGATTTAAAAAAATCTGACCTGAATAAAGACACTCTAGCTTCCCTGCTGGTGTTTCTGGTGCACAGGAGCTCCTCAGGAGAGACTCATGAATGAAAGAACAAGTGAGCAAATAAATAAATAAAGGGACTTTGAGCAGAAACATGAGACATGCAAGCAGAGATTCCAGGAAATGAATCTGATTAGAATACGCATGATGAACCACACGTGGGAGACTCGTGTGGGGATGAGACCAGTTTTGATAATTGGGGGGATATGGGTTAATATTGGTCCATGCTAGAACAGTGCAGGTTGACCAAAAAAGACAAATAGACTCTAGAGTCATATAAAAAATATTAAGAAGTTAGCAAAACACAAAATAGACCTCTTATTTCATCTTGTTGGGATATCTCTGCTTCTGTTAGAGGTTTTGGAGATTTTTATCACACCTATCTCATTGTCTCTAAGCTTTTGCACCATGTAACACTCCAATCTGACAGTTGGGAGAAACATGAGGGACTTGGGGACCCCAGCTCAGTCCTCAGAGGACAGCCCAGGCTGCTAGGCTGTTAGCCGAGCTGGCATGCTTTGTGGAGCAGATGAGCTTTTCAGAGATTCAAGTTTGGTTCAAAATTCACAACTCGTGAGTTCCAAATGGTTCTAAATTTGGCTGAATGCGTTTTTCCCTAGCTGTGTGTCACTAAGCAAGACGTAGTGACTTCATCGAGTTAGAAAAACAAAGGGCTGATATTGCCTCTTTGCAGAAATAAACTTGATGAGGACAAAGGAAGTGCATTGCTAATACTACAGCAGCAGGTCCTTAATTTTGTGTATTTTCCACTCAAACAGCTTTCTCCGGCATCAACAACAAAACCATTCACTGGAAGAACACCGCCAGTTACCGGCCTACTTATAAGCAAAGTGGCACTAAGTGAGTTATCTTTCAGCTTTGTTGAACAAGCAAATTATATAGTAAATTAAATCACATTTTACTGTTGAGTTGGTGTGGTACAAATTAAGGAGTGCACTTTGATTCACCCTTACAGCTCCTGCATGTTTCATAGCCCTGATGTTCCAGTTTCAATATGGGAGAATTTAGCAGAGAACTTGTGCGAATTCTGTTTCTTCGTTGTGTTTACAAGTTCATTGCAACCAGCTCATTTGGGATAGTGCTGGCGTGAAAACAAAATGCCATGTTTTAGCTTCTCGTCAATTATTTAAGTGAGTGATGCTTTCCTCCACTTTTTTTTAGTGTCCTCCAAGAAACCTAACTAAAGGTATCCACAAAGGGAGAAACACCGTGGCTAAATCCAAAGGAAGATAAAGAGAGTGAATTCCTGGCAATCACTAGCTGATCTCCAGGGAAGAATGCTATCTGGATTCCTTCTGGCAACATTATAAAATGGAAAGTGACTAGTCCTTAATTTCTGAGATTCCCAGACTTGGATTGAAGTCTTTTTGTTTTTTTCAATTGACAAAAATTGTATGTATATATCACCCACAACATAATGCCTTAAAGTACACATACATTGTGAAATGGTTAGATCTTGCTGCTTAACAAATGCATTACCTGGCTTAGTTATCATTTTCGTGGTGAGAACACTTAACATCCACTCTCTTTGCATCTTTTCATAATACAATGTATCTTAATTAACAAGTTTAGAGGAGTCTTGATTGCAACATTTTATCTGTGTTAGACTGGGCAGGTGGCTTTCAGGTTCAGCACTAAAGGAGGTTACAGGGGTTGCATGAAGCTACTCTGTCCAAATTTAGCACAAAATAGGTGCTCTATATAGTTTTGTTCTCCTTTTTTGTCAGGATCTTGTCTCAATGACGGTTTGAAGAATCTGAAACAACAGCTCTCCATGTCCTTCCTGTCCCCCAGAACAAAGTCTATGTTTCAGAAAGGCAGATGTGTTTCAGTTGATGTGATTATGATAAGGAAGCACAAATGATAACCATGACTCAGGCTGGTCAGAGTGAGGCCCAATGACACCCATTATATAAATTCTTCTGCGAAAGGGTCATGTAGGTCAGCCCACATCTTGCCATGTCCGACAAATGGGTCAGTGGAGGTGACAGGGTTAAGTTATTTGAAGGGATGTGTGGGAATGGTACTCTAAGGAAAAGGTGTCATGAAATGATCCTGTCACAAAAGTAACAACAGATTGACAAGGCCTCAGAGTGTCCACCAGGTGTATCCTTAACCACCCAAATTCTATAATCACTCTGATTCTTCAAGCTGTACCCCGTCTTGTGATTCCGAAAGGCATCTAACTCTACCCTTGCCATCCTAAGTCTTGCAGACCACCTTCTTCAAGTCAGAGTATGCTACTTGAACCATTTTACACAAATATTCTCCATTATTTCAGGATGTACTTTTAGCTTCTGCTCAAAGGACTCTGTTACATTTTATTTTATATTTTATTATGTTATATTATGTTATTCTATTTTATTTAGTGTTAAGGTCTCTTAACCTTTCTAAAACAATTTTCTGGCCCATAAAAGAAAGGTGTTGAACCAAGCTTTCTGAGGATCCATTGTTACACCAGAAGACTGAACCTACAAATGCCTATCGAAAGAGAAATCTTGGTACACATGTTATCTAGGAAAAGGATGTGTCTGCATCTAAGTCCAATTTTTTTTTATTATACTTTAAGTTCTGGTATATGTGTACAGAATGTGCAGGTTTGTTACATAGGTATGCATGTGCCATGTGGTTTGCTACACCCCATCAACCCATCATCTACATTAGGTATTTCTCCTAAAACTGTCCCTCCCCTTCTCCTCCAGCCCCTGACAGGCCCAGGTGTGTGATGTTCCCTTTCCTGTGTCTATTTGTCCTCCTTGTTCAACTCCCACTTATGAAGCTCCCTGGTGGTCTAGTGGTTAGGATTCAGTGCTCTCAACTTCCACTTATGGGTAAGAACAGTCAGTGTTTGGTTTTCTGTTCCTGTGTTAGTTTGCTGAGAATGATGATTTCCAGCTTCATCCATGTCCCTACAAAGAACATGAACTCATCCTTTTTTATGGCTGCATAGTATTCCATAGTGTACATGTGCCACATTTTCTTTATCTATTCTATCTTTGATGGGCATTTGGGTTGGTTCCAAGCCTTGCGTATTGTGAACAGTGCCACAATAAACTGGCAAACCGAATCCAGCAGCACATCAGAAAGCTTCTCATAAGTCCATATTTTATGATTCACTCACTGGGTTGAATCACTATAAATATCAAGTAAGGAATTCCTGTCAAAGAGAGGGAACCCTATGAAATTGCCAATATCCAGCCATTAGTTTCAGCTACAAATATAATAATGTCATATGATTTGACCTGTGTTACCTTTTTTTTTTTGCATGGCGGAAGGAGGGTGGCTATTAGCAGAGCCTTCAAACCTTGCACAGTTTTGTAAGGTATGCATTTGTTACAGTTCACTCAAATAATATTTCTTTGTAGGTATCCCAATTTCATTCACTTTTCTACATTTCTAGCACTCTTTCATTAGTCCCACCTACCATGACCGGCCACTGTCATCTACTTTGGCCTTTTGCCAATCAATTCAACACAACCTGAGTAAAAGTCTAAACTGCAAATCTAATTGTCTAACATCCTCTTTTTAATGACGGTGTCTCTGTTGTCTTCTGACCATTGGAGGAAAGCACCAAAGTTCCTTGAAATGGTCAATAAAATTCTTCCCACTCTGACATCTGCCTGCTCAACAGTCTCATTTTGTACATTATTTCTGGATCTAGCCACACTGGCCTGCTGTCAGCTCTCTACATTCTCCACAAGTTTCCCCACTCCTAAGTTCTTTCTATTAAAAGCAATGGCAAAAACTGCAATTACTTTTGCACCAGTACAATAAATGCTATTCCTATGTCCTGGAAAGCTCCTCCGTCCCCTCCTCCTTGACCTCAGTCCTGGTTGTATTTGTCCAGGTTTGTCTATGTCTAGACATCTTTTTTGAACTGTAGGAGTGGGCCAGAACCCATGCACAGAAGCTTTTGAAGAGCAGTGTGCATTTCTATATAGCATATGGCCTTCTGCTTTGCTTTTTCAGACTTCTCTGAATGCCTAGTGGATGAAGATCTACTTACCCACACAAGTTCTCTGAAGGTAAAATTCCTGTTTGATTTTACTCTCAACTTTAACATCTTCAGCATCCAGCCCTGTCTATAAATATCTGAGAGCAAATGGTTAATGCACGAGAAAATGGCAAACAGAAAGAAAAGGAGCCAGTGCATGTTGAAGAACTTGAGTATATGATGCATTACCCAGGCTTTCTTTTACACCTGTTTTCATGGCAATAGATTTCTGGTTTTGCTTTTTTATCCATGAGAAGGTTTAACTCACAATATAGCAGAAACCAGGACTAATCTCAATGGTTAGAAGAAGCTGAGTTTCCCAGGAATTCCACTCATCACCGGCTTTTATCTCACAATCGGATTTACTTCTAACTTGTGTTTTGACAATCATTTCTACAATGTGCCCATTTTAACACAAGGGGCTCTTGAAAGTAAATTCCAGAGAACTCAGAGTCCTACTAAGTCAATAATATCCTCTATGACTATTGAGATAAATAAAAAATGGTCTGGCCATAGCAACAAGAAGTTTCTTAAACAACAAGGAATATCGGTTCATTTTGTTTTTTTTCCCAGCAGGTATTAAAAAGACTAAATCGGCTTAGTCAGCCTAGCTGTGGTTTAAGGTTTCCTTTGGTTTATCTTGGTACGTGAATATTAGAAGCCCTAGACTCTGACTGGCTCACACTGGAACTCCAGTGAACACAAGCTTAGCCATATTGGGAGGCATTAACAAGACCAGGGAGGAACTTCTGTAACTGGGAGATTTAATGTCTGAAAAATGTATTTGACTATTAACAATAGTAACAAATAACAAAGTGAGACTAAACTAGTCCAGTTTTGAAGATAAGGGAATTTATGTCAGCAACAGTAATTAAACTACTGAGAGCACATTTTAAGTAGAAGGAGGGTTGGGATGGGAACTCAGGACTTCTGACCTTTCTAGCTTTTCAAAGTATTTATTTTTTGTACTAGTTCATGTTTTCATATTTTTACTCAGTTACTTTTTCATCAACTTATTTTTTGTTTCATTGAATACACACTCTGTACGTGAAGCTCCATGTTCTAATTGTGAGCTATCAAATCATGCTTTGCATTGTAGCTGGGCGAGCACAATTCCAGCCCTATCACCAGAATATACCTTATTCTCCCCAGGTTCATCTCTCCTTAGACTGAGCACAGCAATTTGTATGTTGGGGGTAATCAAGATATTTTTCATTCATTTTAATGTTAATAACAACACTAACAATAGTATTCATTTAACAAACATCTACTGTGCTCTAAGCATTTTGCATAAAATATTACTGTAATTACACAGACAGTTATTGGGTACCTATGTGAGATTGCTATAATTAACACAGCACAGCTTGTGCATGCAAGTGATTTACAGGCTACTAGGAGCTGCTAGTCTCATCTTATTCCTATGACAAGTAAATGAGGTGGGTGTTATTGTTCTTCTCCCACCTTCCACCCTTTTGCTCATGACGGAACTGAGGCTTAGGGAAGTAAACATGAAGTCAGTTCTGTAGTCCAACATGCTCGATCTGAGATTTCAGTTCACATCGTTCTGATGCCAAAACTCTTCTACAACATGCTCCTTTTATTCAGTCATTAATCTGTCCATGTATTAACAGTTTGTGCCAACCGTGTGCCGACAACAAATAGATGTTACGGTCAATTCTTTGAGGCATCTCACAGTCAAATAGAGGGAAGTTGAGAAACCAAAAAGATTGACCAACAGTCTTTGTTTGCCTGGGTCTGACACTTTTCCTGGGACATGAAACTTTTAGTGCCAAAACTAGGAAAGTCCAGGGTCAACAAAGCTGACAGCCAATTAGTAGAACAAGGAGAAATGATGGAAGTCAGAAGATCTGAGTTGTCTGGACCTAGTATGTTACAGCAAAGAGTGCAAATTATATTATGAAAGGCAGAAAAAGAAGTTTGCAATGTATCACTACAGAGCCGCTAGTATATCCATAACTGAGCATTCATCAAACTTGCAAAAAGAGGAAAGAAGTTTCTCTTCATGGGAAAATTCCAATTTTTTGCCATGAATATTGTTAACACTAACACACAGAGAGAACTCCCCATCATCATTCCAATGCTGAGTCTACCTGGCAACTCTGAGGCATGAGTGCTAGAAATAAATGGAGCATGTCATTGTGTCTGAGCCAGTGTGAGTGACAGACAGAAGGAAGACTCACAATTTAAAAAAGTGAGAGGAAAGCTGGTTAATAATTTTCAAGATTTCAGAAAAGAATGGCAACGACTTTTTATTCATTCCATCAACACTGCTTGCTTAAATACTTTGAGCTTGGTCCTATAAATACAGCCTTAAAATACATGCCCTGGCTTCACAAGCAGAGCAAGGGACACCAGGATTTAATGAATAATTACCAAGTAGAGTGGTAGGTGCTAAAACAGAATCAGGGTGTGTAAAGTACAAACAGCTTGGAATATTATATAATACAAAGCCCAACACTGATCCTTTGGGCTTTAAAGTTATGGGGAAAAAAATTATTTTAAAATTTTTGTATAAAACAGATAACAGCACAGACAGTGAGTGTACAACCAAAAATAGTGATTAAATCAACTGCCAGCACACTTGTCTGTGTAACATATATATGCAATATATGTATATATATATGTAAATATACATGCTATACCATATGTCTGTGTATGTGTGTATTTATATACACATGAAAGTGTGTGTTTCTGTTTCCCATACTTATAAAAGTATTAGAAAAATGTCACTCAGACTGGCTTGTTCAAGTAAAAAAAAATATAATTTTATGCAAAAAACCAAAAGGTTAAGATTTCATCCTTGGAAGGTCAAGACTCCATGATAACTCCAAGAACAGTCTTCTTGTTCTTGCATCTGCTTCATCCTCAGGCTTGCTTTTCTCATGGTTATAAGATAGCTGCCCTTTCTGTTCTCCCACTTTAGGAAAAAGAGAAAACCTTCTTATATTCGTTTCTTAAATCTGCTACAACAAAGTACCACAAACTGGGTAGCTTAACACACACACACAAACAAACAAAGAAACAAACAATTATTCAGAAATGCAGGTCTCCCAGTTCTGGAGGCTGGATGTCTTAAACCAGGGTGTCGAGAGGGTCAGGTGACCTCTGAGCACAACTGAGGAATGCTTCTTGCACCTTTCTTTCATCCAGTGTTTTGTCAGAAATCTTCGATGCTCTCTTGGCTTGCAGCAGCAGACCTCCAGGCTCTACCTTTGTTGTCACATGCTGTTTTCCCTCTGGGTCTCTGTTTGTTGTCACATGCTGTTTTTTGTCTGGGTCCCTGTTTCTTTGTTGATCCTCTGCTTTTAAAGGGCTAACAGTCATATTGAGTTAGGTGCCAATCCTACTCCAGTATGAGTTCATTTTAACTAATTATGTCTTTTAAGGACTCTGTATTCAAAAAGGGTCACATTCTAAGAAACTTGAGGTTAGGACTTCAAATCTTTGGTGGGTGGGGGTTGGGGGGCGCGATTCAACTCATGACACTTTCTTCAACCATAGAATCTACATTTTTTTCTTTCGTTTGAAAAGGTTGTCTAAGGTCACATGTTCACTTTTGAAGCAGTGACATTTACCCAGAAATATGATGAACATAGGGGTTTAGACGAATAGGGATCCATCTCTGGAAATGAGGATGGCTTCACTGTCAGAATAAAATAGGATTCTGTTACAGTTCTATTAGAATGGAGAAGGAATTCTAAATACATAACCAGAGTTTACAATAATATATGACTATGTATGTATGTATGAAAGTATTATTGATCTTATAATGAAAAAATTAGAAAGCCAATTGCCAAAGCATTTAAGTCACTAGGAATAAAGGATATTAGCAATTGCTGAGTATGTATTAGGCTTTATACTGAATATCTACATATATATTATGATTTACTTTAACCAAAGTTTTATTCTGTAGATACAATATTTATCTGTTTTATGGAGAACTAACTTAGGCCCTTAAGGAGTATAAGACTTGTTCTAAGTCCCCTGGCTAGTGATTGTCCAAATCAGGATTAGAACTCATGACCCATGATTTTGCATTCTCAGTTTTAAGATGCTCTTTAAACTGTTCCATGGTGCCACAGGGTGCAATGAAAGGAAGGTTTGAATTTTCAGTTAAATGTCAAATTGTCTTACGTATTTTATTTGAAGTTTTATATTAATTGTCTTTGGGCACTAGAAAATTAAAGTGTGGATGGCTTTTACTCTTTTCTATATTTCGAATAATGGGTGGGGGGAATGTTAGGACAATAATTGTGGAGAGTCTTAAGTTTTGCTTTACTTGCAAACTAACAAGTTAGCCTGCCACAGTTTCATGGACACTGGCAGGAGACACAACACTCCTGGGTCAGAGATAAAAGATAGTGTAATGTTCACAGCCATATCAGTGGCCAGAATATTTTTGTACTGGTTCCCTAAGCCTCCATTTTTAAAGATCAAAACGATTAGGAGAAAACACTGTCTTGTCATGCAGTAGAGTATGTTCCAGAAAAGAAATCCTAGAGATTAGGAAGTCTCCGTTTTATATAAGGAAGATATTGTTAGAAAATTTGCCTGATCTTTGCCATAGAATAAGACATTATTCTTCTTACCCAAAAAAAGTAAACAAATCTGCTCCAGAAGGAGAAAATCTCTGTCTCTCTCAAGGCAGGTTGTTTTCTTTTTTTTTTTTTTTTAATAGAAAAGTACTAGAAATGACAGTCTGGAAAAAAAAGTTTATACCTTTGCTCAGAAGATGTGCAGAAATATAAGAGGTTCATGGACAATTGTCACCCAACAGGTTAAGTCTTCTCCACTATGATTTTTTAGCATTATAAATGTTCGATGTCAGAATTCTAATAATCCAAAGACAAGCTCAAAACCAGTATATAGCAAGCAATAGGTAACAGATCCTGCTTAGTGATCAGAAGACAGCTTTTCCAGGGCCCTTGAGATATAGTTATTTTAGTTAAAAATCAATATAATTATGTTTCTTTTTAATACTTTTTATAGAAATTTGTTTACCAAATCGCTGCAACATGAACATAAAGGGGACTATTCTTCATGTGTTGCATTCGGAGAGTCAAAGAGCACCTACAATGAGCTAAGTTGTACTGGCACATAATTCATGTTATCGAGCAAATAAATGAATCAAATTATGACATCGCCAATAAATCTAATTTTAGGGTTTTGCTCTAGTTTCAACTTTAGTTATTCTGAATTTTTGTACATAATTTTTTGGTAATTTAAAGCACTGTGGTATGAATAATGTTAT